CCACATGTGGCCTATGAGCTGCAGGTTGGACACCCCTGCAAAATAACCAAATTTACTAAAATTTAAAATGTGTTTATATTGTTTATTTTTTAAAGTGTTTAATAACTGTAAAAATAACTTTGTTATCTGAATAAAAATATACCTAGGTATGTTGTTATTTATTTTAGTATGGTTGCTATACATTTGTTGTAATAGTTTCAGGTGTACAATATAGTGATTCAACATTTTTATACCTTACAGTGTGATCACCCCACTAATTCTAATAATCACCTATCACTGTGCAAACTTATCACAGCGTTATTGACTGTGTTCCCTGTCCGTTTTTACCCCCCACCCCCACCCGCTTCCTTCTGGGAACCGTCTCTTTGGTCTTTGTTTCTATGAGTTTGTTTTTGTTTTGATTTGTTTTGTTTGTTCATATTTTGTTTTTATAAGTTCCATATATAAATCAGATCATACAGTATCTGTCTTTCTCTGCCTTACTTATTTCACTTAGAATAATATTCTCTAGATCCATCCATGTTTTTGCAGATGTCAAGATTTCGTTTTTTATTGCTGCTGTGTACTATTTCATTTTGTGTGTATATCTATAGTATATATGTATATGGCTGTGTGTATGTGTGTGCCTATATGTGTGTGTGTGTATATCCCATCTTCTTTATCCATTCATCTGTCCGTGGACACCTGAGTTGCTTTCATATCTTGGCTATTATAAATAATGCTGCAGTGAACATAGGGATGCCTATATTTTTTTCAATTAGTGTTTTTGGTTTCTTCGGATAAATACCCAGAAGTAAAATTGCTGTGTCATTAAGTGTGTTACTATTAGTTAATTCTACCCACATTTTGAAACTTCACTATTTCCAGGCATAGGTCTAAGTGTGAAGATACAGAAAAGAAAAAATAATAGCCCTTGTTCCAGCTAGCCATTCAGACAAGTATGACCCTGTGTGACTCTCGCTGTGATGGTGAAGGGTACCGCACCTATGGCCACACAAATGAGGGGGGCTTAACTGCAGAATAAGAAGTGGAAGCCTCCCCCAAACAGGTCACATCAGAACTGCATCCTGAAAGAAGGGAACTAAGGAAAAGGCATTAAAAGGAGAAAGAACAGCACGTGCCAGACAGGGAGCTGTGACAGCATGTGGCAGATTTGGGGAGTAAGAGCTTCTATGTGGCTGTGTCCCAGGCCTAATTGAGGACAAGGACAGGCAGGGATCAGATGAGCTTTTTACGTCATGCTAAAACGTTCGTATTTTACCAGAAAATAATGGGAAGGTTTTGATACAGTATGTGCTCTAAAATAATATGACTCATTATACTATGAGGCTAAAAGATTTTTTTTTGCTCCTTAAGATCAGAAACCTTGGTAAAACATCTGAGAATACAATATGATAAAATCACCAGAACCTAATTCCAATTATAGAGCTGACAGAAATCTCAGTATCCTCATCTGTAAAATGGAGATCGCTATAGGCTTGTTGTGAGAAGTTCACGAGTTAAAGCCTGAGAGCATTTATTGCAGTGTCTGGCACATTGTAACCACTCAGTAACTACAAGCAGGCATTGCCTTCATTGTGATTGGCATCATTAGAAAAGACTGAATTGGAGAAAATGGATGAGAATACTAAGGGATAATTTTAACATCTAAAGTTAAGAGTAATTTTCCGATTCTGCTGAATCTATATTGCTTAGAGTAATAGAGTCACTTCAGAGCGAACTACTTTGTCAGAGGCATGGCAGGAAAAGGCACTGGTTAGCAAAATGCACTGATTATGTGCTTGAGAGGAACTTTTCTGCTGATTTCGTTGTCCAAGAAAATGTAAAAAAAGAAAACTAGACTTTCAGCTTTTGAGAGCAGTATCTGAGGAGAGTACATGCTTGATTTTTTCAAGAGAGAAGAGGAAAATATTAATGTCCATTGAAAGAAATTGGAGGTAAAACTAACTTTTTCATTTGCTTCCCTTTGTTGGTTGGCAGGCTCTCAAAAGGAGAAAATATGCTTTTAGTTTGCTATTAGATTGTAAATAGCTGCTTACAAGGTATCTTTATACTGTAGGACTGTAGGTTAGTTTTTCACTGTATTTTGTTATTGGAATGTTTTTTGTAATTGTGCCAAATTGAAAATTTGAAATATGCAGCAGGTCCTCGAGTAATGTCATTTCACTCAATGTTGTTTCATTATAATGTTGATATCATAGGGACTTAGCTCTTGTTTATATCAATTAACCTATGGTAAAATTAGTGTTGCTACATGTGGTTTGGTAGAATTCCAAGAACCTATTAATGATATTAAGTGAGGACTTAGTATATTTTAGCTATTTAAATTTTGGACTCAACAACCATCAGCAATCGTATTGAATAGAAGTCTGACAACTACGGAATTAAAGAAATTACATCCATCCAGACTGGTTGGAGTGGTGCAGACACAGAACACACTGGTCCCACATCCATGTGTGGTGGATAAAAATTTGGGAGGAATATCTTGGGAGTGAAGAGTCCCATCCCCACACCAGGCACCCCAGCCAAGGCTTCTAGTGCCAGGAAGATTAATCCCCATAACTTGTGGCTGCAAAAACCAGCAGGGACTGAGTAGAAGAAACTTCTGGAATCCCGAGCAGTTCCCCTTAAGGGACCCACACACGTATTTATTCAGACTCACTCCCTCTGAGCTCTAGCAGCAGGGTAGCAGCTTGAAAGTCACCAGTGGCAAATAGGAAAGAACTGAAGTGCCTGGCATCAAGGCAGGAGCTGAGGAATAGCTTTCTCCCAGACAGAAAAGCAGGCAGAGGTTATTGTCCTTTTTCTGAGCCCTCCCCAAACAGAGCCACAGAGCTGGCAGGTGGATCTCATATCTGAGACTCCATCAACGTAGCTTACACTTTTTGCCCTGCCCTGGAGATCCCCTGAGACTCCATCCCACCCAACTTATGGGCCCACCCAAACTGTTAATTGTGACTTTTCTATATGAATGGCTGGTCTTGACTATGCTTCACAACTTCCTAAATACTCTCAAATAAGCAACAGCCAACTTCAGTGAGCCCCCACTCCCATACCTCTTACTAAGTGGCCCCAGGCCCAGCACTAGCAGCACCCAGGCTAGATTCACAACTTGACTTCACCTGAGAATCTCCAAGCCCTACACAAGTAGCAGCCATCTCAGATTGCTTTATAGCTCAGGCAGGGTGGCCCCAGGCAGAACACAAGTGGGGGCTGACCTTGACATGAACCACCTAGGAAACCCCAAGGCCAGTGCACCCAGTGGACAGCTATAGACCACATTAGAGCACCACCACCCTGCATCTGCACAGCTGATCCTCCATGGAGGGCAGAGGTTGGTGGTCAGTGGTCATAGCTAGTTCTTGCAATTTGAATGGCCAGGGTAAATCCTTGTCATTGACCTGCCAACAGCAGTCAAGGCTCAACTACAAGAGGAGGGTATACTCAGCACACTTGGTGGGCACACCTCAAGTACCCAGCTTGGGTGATAGCAGAGGCTGTGCCACTGGGTCCTACAGGATACCTACTACATTAAGCCATGCTATCAAGACAGGAAGTCATAGCAGCTCTACATAATACATAAAAACAAATACAAGGAGGCTGTCAAAATGAGGAGACAAAGATATGTGGCCCAAATAAAAGAAGAGACAAAAAGTCCAGAAAAAGAACTAAATAAAATGGAGATAAATAATCTCTCAGATGCAGAGTTCAAAACACCGGTTAAAAGGATGCTCAAGGAATTTGGTGAGGACCCCAACAGCATAAAAAAGATCCAGTATACACTAATTGAAATGAAGAAAACTATTAAGGGAAACAACAGTGGAGGGGATGAAACCAAGAATCAAATCAATGTTTGGAACATAAGGAGGCAAAAAACAACCAATCAGAGCCATAAGAAGTTTCCCCCCGAGAAAAAGCGAGAATAGTGTGAGCAGTCTCTGGGCCAACTTCAAGTGTTCCAACATTTGCATCATAAGGGCGCCAAAAGGAGAAGAGAAAGAGCAAGAAATTGAAAATCTATTTGAAAAAATAATGAAAGAGAACTTCCCTAATTTATTGATGGAAATAGACATGCAACTCCAGGAAGCTCAGAGAGTCCCAAACAAGATGGATGCAAGGAGGCCCACTTCAAGATACATCATAATTAAAATGCCAAAGGTTAAAGCTAAAGAGAGAATCTTAAAAGCAGCAACAGAAAAGCAGTTACTTCCCTACAGGGGAGTGTCCATAAGACTGTAAGAAACCAGTTTATTTCTCAGGAGATTGCTCCACTCAGCAAAGCTATCATTTAGAACTGAAGGGCAGATAAAGAACTTCCCAGACAAGAAAAAACTAAAGGAATTCATCATCACCAAATCATTAGTATATGAAATACTAAAGGGACTTGGTTAAGAAAAAGAAGAAGATCAAATCTATGAATAATAAAATGGCAATAAATACATATCTGTCAACAATTGAATCTGAAGAACAAACTAAGCAAGCAAGAAGAACAGAGATAGAATCATGAATAGAGAGCATTTTGATGGTTGTCAGATGAGAGAGAGGTGTGGGAGAAAGGGTGAAGAGGTGAGGGGATTAAGAGGGACAAATAGGTAGTTACAGACTAGCCATGGGGATGTAAAGCACAGTACAGGAAGTGAAGTAGCCAAAGAACTTACATGCATGACCCATGGGCATGAACAATGGTGTGGGCATTGCCGGAGGGAGTGGGTTGTGCTGGGTAGAGGTGCAAAGGGGGGAAAATTAGAACAACTGTAGTAGCATAATTAGTAGAATGTAATTAAAAAACAAAAAATAGAAGGATACATTTTATGATATATGAATTGCATGTCAAAAAATAGTCAAAGTCTCCTCAAAAAAATTAAATTTGGCTGTATTAAAAATTAGGTAAGTTAGAAAGATTTACTATCTGCAGAATGCCATCTCTCTCTATAAAAATGGACTATATTTCCATATTCTATAGAATAACAGGTTTACTTTTTGTTGTTCTGTTTTGTTAGTGCTCCTATATTCCTCCCTGTAAGAGAGAAAATCAGAAGAACTTGGAAAGTGTCATGAATTGGCAACAGTACTGGAAAGATGAGATTGGTTCCCAGCCATTTACTTGCTATTTTAATCAATTCCAAAGGTAAGCCAATATTTACATGTACTTATTAAAACTGTTTGTAGTCTTTGTAGTTTTATATTATGTAGTATTACATTAATAAGTCATAGGTTGTGCTTTCTTGAATATACAACGTGGAGATTTCTTTCCAGCATGTAGTTAGGGGAGCCCCACCTTGCTCTATAGGATGGAAGGCATGTACAGAATCTGCAGGCAGAGAGAGAGGGAGAGAGAGAGGGAGGGAGGGAGGGAAGGAAGGAGGGAGAGAGAGAGAACTTCTGTCATAGATCTTACTCTCTGGATACACTAAGAAAGTGCCTTTAGGTAGAATCATTCTATCCTAGTAGTGTTCCCTGCTAATTACAGATTAATTACATAAGGTGAACAACTTTAAGATTCAAGTTTATCAGAGCATTGTTGACTGCATCAAATATCTTTCCATTTCTTTTCTTTTCTGATGAAGTATGAATAAAATGAGTCCATACCATTAAAACTTTATTTGACTTAGAAATCAAGTTATGCCATATAGTTATTGCTCCTTGGACTACAGCACTTCAGTACCCACCCAGATTAATCATGGTAATTTATTCACCAAACTTGAGTATTTACACCACCTTGCTGCACATCTCCATTTGGATGTTGCACATTTATGTCAAACTTTCTTTTGCTCCAGGGATTCCTCTCCTAGAAAATAGAACTATCATCCACTGATTTACCTAGACTAGAAACCTTTTGAGTGATTCTTAATTCACTTTGCTTTTTTTGTACTCTATAACCTGTGTTCACCATTGATTGTACCCCTGTGATGGCTGTTCTGTGCCTGCCCTGGTCCCACTGTCTTAGTTTGGATTTACATTATTTCCCAGCTCCACTGATGCACTAGTGTTCTAGCAAGTCCTTCCATCTCCACCCTGCCCCCACTGCAAACCATTCTGCATGCCTCTGTCAAGGTAATCCTTCTAAAACCTCAGACTAATCAGGTTGTTCCTTCTTGTTTTTGAGTGAAGTCCAAATATCGTGGCGTGGCCTATGTATCAGGTACCTATTGCTGTATGACAAAGCACTCTAAATGTAACAGCTTACTACAACAATTTATTATTTCTTACGATTTTGTGGGTTGTCTGGGAGGTTCATGTATTGGTCTCTCCTGGGCTCATGAGCAGTCAGATGCTGGCTGGAATAGCTGCTTGGCCCACAAGGCCCTCTTCTGCCATGTGCCCAGCACTCGAGGCCGGCTCAGATGAAGAACCTTGGTTCCTCTTCACCTGACCGCATCCTCTAGTAGGCTAGATCACCTTCCTATAATATGGTAGCTTCGTATATATTATGTGAGATCTATCTATATATTTATATTCGATACATATATACCAAACATTTGTGTACCTAGTATTATAATATTGATGTGTTATAACATTGATATGTTATAAATGTATCTAATAAATTAAGGCTTGACAGTGTATGATACTTTAGGGTTATAGGTTATATAATAGAGAGTGGTGAATTTGTAAACTGGAAAATAGCGTGGAGCTAGAATTCTAAAAGGTCATAAATGCCATACTAAGGAGATGGTCTTTGCTATACGGACAATGAAAATTTGTAAAAAGTTGTGTTTTCTTGAAACCAAAGACTGATGTTAACTAGACCTCTGATTTAAAAAGTAACTGGTGTGAGTGCTGAATGTGTAGTGGGAAGGAAGTGGAAATGAAAGGCAGGGAACTCTAGCTCAGTGATGGGGGCATACGGAAAGTACCGAGTGAAAAAAAAAATAGCATTTTTGAGTGGCTCTGATGTACCAATCATTGCAAATAACATTTTGGTTAGAACACCAAATTTCTTGCAATAATTCAAAGTCCTAACCCCATTTAACAGATGAGGAAACTGAGGCCCAAAGAAGTTAAAGAATTTGTCCAATGCATATGGCCATTAAGTGAAAAAAATGGAATCCACTTAGTCTGATTCCCAAAACCCCTCTATTAACCATCTGCTGGTCCTGATACAGCATTGTGAAAGCCTAAGCAAGAGCAGTGGAAGTGGAAGGATCTAAAAGGCCGTGTGCCAGCAAGACATTTTAGTTACACTCAACGAACCCGAATGACAATGTAAGTGATGAGGAAAAGGAAGGTGTCAAATCTGACTGGGTTTGAGAAAAAGACGGCCCAGCTCTCACTATGCCGAACTTGAGAGACTCATATCCAGAAGCTGCTTGAAAAAGTTAGAAATGTAGACTTCTAATTCAGGAGTGCAAGAGGTCAGCACCAGTGTTAATGCAGATCTAGGAATCTTTGGCACACAAGCTGTAGCTGAAGCACAGAAAAAGAACACATACCAGAAACACACAGAGAAGAGAAATACGACAGCATCTTGAGATCATCCACACTTAGGTGTAGGGAGAGAAGATGGGGAAAGTGGTCAGATGGTGAGAGGAAGTCAAAACAGAGTACTATCTTGGGAAAATTTTAAGGGTTTTTTTTTATTGTTCAGTTACAGTTGTCCCACGTTTTCCTCATTGCTCCCCTACCCTGTACCCCACCATAGACGATCCCTCGCATTGTCTATGCCCATGAGTCCTCTGTTCGTCTTCCTTTGCTTGCCCCTCCCCTTCCAAGGAGAAAGGGGTGACCCAGAAGGACTCCTGAGCAGCCACAGTTAGAAGTCTGGTGGCGATCATGGTGAAAGCAGCTTAGGTGCAGTCCTAGGACACAGGGTCAGAAATCATTTTATATTTTTCTCAGGTGAGAGTGTGAAGGCGTAAATGCGGAGTCCTCTTTCAAGAAGCTTTCCATGGCCAAAGAAAAGAGCGTGGGAGGAGGTGAGGAATTGAGAGGGAAGGAGGCATGGATAAAGAGGAGTGAGCCTGCCACCGACTAACACTGCTGAGAAAGAGAGAAACGCTGGACATAGGTAGTAAACAAGGCAAAATGGAACACACCCTGAAAACAGTGACATAGGATGAAATGAAAAGGTTAAGAAGTAGGGATATTGTTTCTGTGAGGCAGGAGTGGACCAACAGAATAGGCCCCCACCCACAGTCAGGAGGACAGTTGGGTGTCGAACCCGTGAATGTCTGAATTGGGCGATCTGTGCTTCCAGCCGGTGACCAGGGACCGGCTTCAGAATGCAGGCGAGCTTGACTTTTCTGATGGAAGCAAACAGGGTGCCCCGTGCCATGGGCTGTCCTGACTGACTGGGCTTGGTCTTCTTCTTCTTCTTTTATTTTAAGATTTTATTTATTTATTTTTAGAGAGGGAGAAAGAGAGGGAGATAAACATCTCCATGAGAGATGTCAATTGGTTGCCTATCACGCGTCCCCAACTGGGGACTGGCCTGCAACCCAGGCATGCGCCCCAACCGGGAATGGAAGCAGCGACCTTTCTCTCTGCGGGACAACACCCAGCCAAGCCACATGGGTCGGGGCTGGTCTTGGTCTTCTTAATAAACTTCCCCTCACTCCCATTCAGATGCCGAGTTCTCCAAAGGCTGCCTCCCCCAGACAGGGTTGCCTCCTAGGAGGGCACAGAGTCTGAATATCCTCAGCACCCAGTCAAGGACTGTTCCTCTAGAACAGTGAGAACTATCTGGAAAGCGCTAACCCTTCATTCTACACCATCTCTTTTAAGTTTGGTAACAGTAAAGTTAAGCCCATCATACTTCCCTCAGAATGGATACTCATTCCCGACTCATCACTTCACTGTCTCATCCCCAAACTGTCAGGGTGTAGATAGACTGGGGGTGGTCTGTCACAACCCAGCAGCTCTCGAGACACGGTTTGAAGTGACTCCAGGAAAACAGACGATGGGAGTTTGGCTCTTTTACCCTGACATATGAAGAGGAAACAAGAGTGCTGGTTGGAGGTGTGGAGCATGGCAGCTCCCTTGTGCCGTCTTCTCTCCGCACACGTTTTAACTACTGCTAAACTGCTAAATGTGAGACAAAGATAGACTTACTGTAGAGACTCCCAGATGCTCGCAATAAGATGAACTTTATATTTGAAGTAACCTTTAGGTTTCACTCACGTGCGGTAAATCAGGGAGAATAGTTGTCAGGTAGTTTCCATTTTCAAGAAAAGGATATTTTAAAAGTTGAAGACCGATAGTGGAGTCTTCGCTGTCCACTGTTTAAGCCTCATTTAGGAGAGCCACCACAGGAATAGAAGCTGCAGCTGTGCCTGCCGTGAGAGGCCGGTCCCCACACAGCCACCCCGCTGCTGCTCCCAGGGAGGCTGCCGGCTTGGTAGGGCCAGCGCTGGCCGCTTCCATTCCTGGCTTTCTCTCCTGACATTCCAGCTCTTCGTCTCCTCCAGTCTTGGGCTCTCGGTCTCCTCCTTAATGTGCAGGTTTCTATTTCACACATTTTCACACAGGTGAAGTCACACTTACTGCTCCCTCTACCATTTTTATTTTTTGTCTTTTATCCTTTCCCAGGCTTTTTTTTCTCAGCAAAACCTGAATTATACCCCATTACTGAGTATGTTTTGAAATCTTCATTCCAGTGCTGGAAAACTTCTCTGTGGCCTGTCTTCTCACACAATTCTCCTCTTTGTCTTTGCCTTAAATGGCTTCCCCTTGAAGGACACGTGTCCCTGGAAAATGATTACTCTTCAATTCCTTTCAGATCTAAGGGTCAGGAGGAGCGATCAGTCTTTATTTTTTCAACTTTTCCACTAATGGGGAGTATAGTGTTTTTCTATATAGATTTACTTAAAAAAAAAGAATTTATTTATTTATTTTTAGAGAGAGGAGGAAGGGAAGGAGAAAAACACCAATGTGTGGTTACCTCTTGCATGCCCCCTACTGGGGACCTGGCCCGCAACCCAAGCATGTGCTCTGACTGGGAATCGAACAGGCAACCTTTTGGTTCATAGGCTGGTACTCAATCTGCTAATCCATACCAGCCAGGGGGAAATTTACTTTTTTAAGCTTTATTTTATCCTTCTGAGTTTACAGAATGCCCAGAGCAAGCACACACACTCTCTAAACACACAAACCCAGCCACACCACCAGTGAAGTCTTGAATTCATCCCAGGG